GGTTGGTCGGGGTGGGTGGGTTTCAGACAAACTGCTTTCCCGGTCTCAGACATCAGACAAACTGCTTTCTCGGTCAGGATTTGTGGTGTTCCTCTGTTGCACCCCATACCGTGGACTGTTGCATGCGGCCTGGCTCGTAGTAGCTCGTGGAAACATCGGGACTGTTGCGTGACAGTCCTGTGTGTGCGAGAGAGAGGGAGAGGAGCAAAGGTGCAGAGATCGGAGATCACGTTGCCTGCTTAGGTTAGACACGCAGACATCTGATGACACAAGTGTTGCCAATGCCATGCACAAACGCACGACTGTGTACGTACAACAATCGCCTCGCAGTGGAGACAAGGGCGGCAGACGTACGCAAGCCGGTCTGCCGACTGTATTACCAGTTCGGATCATCACAAGACAACAGCATGCTTCAGACTCTATAACGGACAGCTTGTTTAAATTTTCAGGTTGAGAAAGGCGTAAAAAAAGAAGAAGAAGAAGATTATTAGGCGGTGGCGCCGACGGTGGCGCTGGCGGCGAGTCTGGAGGAGCCGTAGAGGGTCTCCTCGAAGCGGATGATCTCGTTCTTGGAGCCGTAGGCCACCTGGGTCCGCTCGTCCAGGACGGAGATCACCTTGTCCAGCACCGACTGCTTGCCGTCGCTGCTGTGCCCGCCGGCCTTCTCTATCAAGAACCCCAGCGGCGCCACCTCGAACAGCAGCCGCAGCTTCGCCTTCGCCGTCGGCGACGTCACGTTCGTGAAGATGCCCTTCTCCTTCACGATGATCTGCATGCATGCACGCACCATTCATCAAACATACACCCCTCTCTTCTCATGCATGCATGCACACGAGTAATAACGCTAAAACGAAAGATTTCAATCTCTGCATGCAATGGAGTGTATACGGAAGCAAAGCAAAGTTGGTGCACTAGTACGCGCCGTGCCGGTCGATCGACAGCATGCATGGCCTTGCTTAAAGCAGACGCCGGCACAGGCTCGATGGTCGACCACATGGGCGCGCGGTGGAACAACAGTTGGTGGCACTCACAGCTGCGAGCACCCAGCCAAATTCTTGTTCTCAGAAAAGTTACATTGCCTCGACTCCAAGATTGTCGTCCTCTCTGGCGCCAAAGGCGCAGGAGTAGAATTGACATGACAGATCGATCATGGCCCTGTTCGATGCTGAGTCGAACCGGCACTATTCGTGATCATCAATCAGATCACCGATCGGTACTGAAGAACTAGTGCCATGGCATTTCATTGCTCCACGCATGCAATGCAAGTGATTTTACAAATGCAGGTGTTTGTAGGGCTGGGTCTGAAACTCTGAATAACATTTGTGATTCCTAAGTATGCGAGAAACATATGACTTGTGTAAATTGTAATAACTGAATAGTTGTTGATGTATGTACCTGGTTGACATCAGGGACCATTCCTCCGGTGTAACGCAGAGTGTACTTCTCCTTCACATAGTAGTTGACAAGCTGACAGGATACATTTTCCAGTTGTTAGGTTCTGATTACAACTGTTCCTACATCAGTTTAGAGCCGTGCAGAGAAGCAACAACCAAACAGTAACTGGTACCACCTTGTCATAATCAGGGTTGTCGAACGTGGCCCTCAGATTGCCAGGGGAGAACATCTTCCCTTCTCCGATGCTCGTGGTGTCCTTGACATGCTGCCATTTACCTGCAGCATTTGTAGTAGACCTTCGATTAGCACTGTCACACGCATACAGAAGCTCCATTCCATTGGGGACTTGATTCAGAAGAGAAGTAAAAACCTTCGTCGAGGAGAAGGAATTCGTGTGTCCCGGGGCAGTCCTTGAGGGCAACTACGAAGGTGGTGCGAGGGCCGTAGATGCCCATGGCGGCAGCAACCTGGTCACCGCCGGTGACGCCGGTCAGCTTGTCGCCGGGCCAGACGCCGAAGATGGTTCCCACGGTGAAGTTGGTGTCCACGATGCTGGAGCCGTCAAGGGGGTCGAACGCCACACTGAATCCGCCTGCGAGACGCGACCGAAAACCCGAGCCGATCATAATTCAGAAAGCCAAAATTTCTGCATCTCGTGAACGCCAGCTAAAATGAGCTACGTAGCTACAGTGCATGTAGCTGCTGGCGAGTGGATGGTTCCTATGAGTGGAATCCAAGAAGACGCCATGGTTACATGTACTGATACGTTGTTCCACTGCTATAGTGCTCTCAAGGTGAGAAGGTGGACATGTGTTTTGTTCAGCAGCAGACTAGCAGTGGTGTTGCTGGTGTAGTGTGGCACTGGACTCTGCCCAGTACTACAGTACCACTATGTATTCAGGCGCAGGAATGGCACGCGGTTCTGCCAAGAACACGGTTAAAACATAAGGCGATCGTCTTCCTCCTTAACCATCTCGTCGAGATTTGGGCTTTGATTCCTGGCTGATTATTTATCGTGACAAGATGGATATGCAGTTATGTAAAGTACCTTCGACCGGGCCACCCATGTCCTGCAGCTCGGGGACTTCCTCAGAGCACGCGTACTTGCACACATGGGAGTACTCCAACGCCTGCATATATATACAAGCGAGGTGAGGAACCGTGACGGGACGAGGCGTGCACTCACGGATGGAAAGCGCTGGCTCACGGCCGTCTCACCTCGAAGAGGAGCTTGTCGGCGAGCATGTCGACGGCGAGCTGCTCGTCGCCGAAGGAGTTGACGCAGGCCGTGCCGCCGCAGGAGGCCGTCCGGACCTTGAAGGCGATCGTCCTCATCGCCTCCCCCATGCAGATCAGCAGCCTGATGAGGTTCTTGTCCGGCGTCGCCTTGGTCAGGAACTCCTCCTGCCACCACGCAAAAAAAAAACCAAAAAGTGCACAGACACCGTTAGCTTCACGTGACACCGGCGACGCGCAGGGGACTAGACCAGAGCATGTATACTGGTGGCGGGTGCAGGGCACGAACCAGGCTGTCGCCGATCGCGCAGCGGGTGGTGAGCGCCGCCCGGCTGGCCGCCTTGGACTGCCGCCCCGCCGGGAACGACGTCCTCGCCGTGTTCGCCCGCAGCGACTCGCCGTAGAACGAGGTCGCCGGCCTGGCAGCCTGCCGCACGCATTGCCCATCCGGCATCAGCAAAACAAAAACGGTTGACGCCTCACCACATGTTGGATATCCTAACATTACACACCTTGGGCCTGTAGGACTGCGAGAAGGACATGGCGGCGCAGCACGCCGGGGAGCGCGTGGCGGCCCCGTGCGCGTAGCCGGCGGCCGCGACGGTCTCCATTGCTGCTGGCTGGCTGGCTGCCGGTGCGTGGTCTGGCCGGCGCTGACGAGGAGAGAGAGGCTACGGAGCTTAAGATTTCAGAAGAGTGGTATTAGCTTGCCTACGTTTTTTACGTCGCGGCGCGGCTGGGGGGTTTGGGAGGAACGGATCACGCACGGTGGATGCACGACTGGACCAGATAAGCCGGGGGCCAACGTGGCGCCGGAGAAGATAGAGCGCGGGAAGACGACCGCTCGTGGGTTGTGTGGCCCTGCTGGTGCCGGGACGAGCCGGCGATGGAGCAGCACCGGATCGACCGGCCCGGGTGCGTACGGTGGTGCGTGTGTGCCGCTTCCCGTGGCAACTTGCGAATCAGATTGGTTGCAAGTTTGCAATTCTACGAGGATTAAATTTCAGTGGTGTTTTCCATTCGAGAAAACATCATGTGTGTTACCCTTTTTTTTCTCCAAAAGTGCTCTTTTGATCCCGAGCTCACATGTGACAGTAAAATCGAGAAAATAGTAAATCTGATTATTATTTTTGTGATGAATGTTTGCAAATTTTGTGATGCAATGACCTCCATGGAGGTTAGAGCGAAAAAACAAAATCAATGCTCGAGTTAAAACATTCATCAATATTTATCACAAAAAAAAAGATTTTTTACTATATTTTTTGAATTTACTGTTTATCAAGGAGCATATGAGCTCGGTTCAAAGACTATATGCCCTTCTTTTTGTAATAACTTTGTTGCCTTTGCCTTTGTCATATATGGAGTAGATAATTTTAGCGAACTGGCCAAACATTATTTAGATAATTTTAGACCTTGCTCGATAATTTCTTGTATGATGCAAGGTGATTAGAGGTGCTTAGTAAAATAAATCATTTTTTCTTAAGCACCAGTATCTTCTCTATAAGAGGGATGTCTAATTAAGCATCCACCCTTTACAAATAAATAAGCACTAGAGCTCAAGGAAAAGCTAATTTATTTTTCTAAGCGCCTTGCATTGTAGACCTTAGGTGAAGTGTAACCGTTGTTGGTAACTGAGAAGTAGAACGAATTTCTAAGGCCTTGTACAATAGGAGATGCTTAGGCAGGTGCTAAGAAAAATAAACTAAATTTTTTTGAAGCAACGGTGCCTATTTCTATAGGATAGACGCTTCTATCCTGTACAAATAAGCACCGGTGCTTAAAGAAATCTTGGTTTATTTCTCTAAACACCTCTTCTAAGCACCTTCCATTGTACAAGGCCTAAACCAGCAGAGGGTGGGTATTTCACAAAAGAAACATCCTCCGTTCCAAAATAGATGACTCAACTTTGCACTAATTTTATACTAAAGTTAGTACAAAGTTGAGTCATCTATTTTGAAACAAAGGGAGTACATGACAAGCTGACAACACCAGAAACAGCTGTACCAAACTGGGGAATAAAGACACAGTAAACGGGTTTTGGGTTTTGACCCTCTCAAGTCTCAACTCTTCACGAAAGAAACGAAACCAATGACCATTTGTTTTCTACCCACTTTAGTCTTTAAGACCTGTATTTCATTTTTCCTGTACACGGGAAAACATTCATATCAGATGAGCTCTTTGAGCATCAAGCCACAACTGACTGGCTTGCCCGTTACCCTGACACAAGCATTGAGAACGAGAATGGTGTGCAATTCGCATGAGTTTCTGCGCAGAACGGATGGCTAGGTCTAAGCGAGCGACTGAAGGATCGATCACTCAAGGTGATGAGTGTCTCAGCACATCAAAACGGGCGCGCATGCAGAAACGCATGCCAGGTAGCTGTCAGCAGACTCAGAAAATCTTCTTCACCTCTTGGACATCCTGGGGCCTGAAATAATGTAAATGTTAGCAAAATCGGATATCGTTATTACCAGCTAGTGCTTGACGTTCGAAGGGAGCGTTTAGTCTACTCTTGCAGCTAACATCAGCGCATTAAATAAACAGGGGGATGAATTTCCATGTACGCACTACACCTGCTTACGCAAACATATGGGGTCATGTGTAGGGCCATACCTCTGGGACGAATTGGAGCCATCAGATTGATCTTCATCCTCCTCTTCCTCTGCTTCATCCTCATCACTATCAATCTCCAACAGACTCAGCCTGCACTGGTTTGAAACTCTTCTCATGAGGAAAACATTGAGGTAGTACCGCACCAAGTCCACCCTGGTCTTCGAGGCAAAATGTTTTGCCGCTATCGCCCAAAAACTCTTATTTTCAAACACAGGAACCAACTGCTCAACTGCAGCAAACTTCAGTTGCTCCTCAATACTCCACATCTTAGAAACCTGCTCACCCATCAAATCAAATTTCCATTCCGTGAAAACTTGACCAATTTCAGACCTTAGCCGATCCCTGGCGGTGTTGATGTGATGTAATCTGCAATAGAAGTTTCCTGGATATGGGCAATTACATGATTCAGGCCTTCCCTGTCCAGCTACCACAATATTTGTCTGTAAGACATAACCTTCAGGTGGCCAAGTTCTGCTTCCTAGCATCTTTGAGGTGTTCGGGTCATTCCTGTACCAAGAAAGCTCTGCGTCTGAAGGTGGCCCAGTCCAGTCAGGTATCTCAGCCTGAAACTGCTCACCTACTCCAATCTTTTTCCTTTGCGTGAGAAGCACTGATGTCATGAGTACCATTCTCCTAGCTAGCCTCTCGGATTTCCTTGTTGGGGTTGGCCCTTTCCTTGGTCTTTCTGACTGGTCCTTAGTTCTGTACTTCCTTTTCTGAAAGATGAAAAATGCAACAATGTCCAAAAGAGTAAGAAAGAGAAAATTGTTTCAGAAAGCACAAAACAAAATGGAAAGCAGAGTAAAAGAAATATAGTGAGGAAACTGACAATAAAAGTAAGCAATCAAGCTTTGACAAATTGTCAGACAGGGAGAGGAAATTCTACAAACTAAACACTGAAGAGGCTTTGTGTAACACCCTACGGCCCAAATAGATAACAGCCCAGCCCACGACAGGGCAGACAACTTTTGTCCTCGCTTCAGGCAAAAGGGTCAGCCCAGAAATGCTACGTCTTGCACCCAGAAGGCTTTTCTGCAAGTGTAACTCATGTTAAACCGGCCATGTGGGACTAAAAGCAGGGGCGCTACACTTGAGTATCGTAGATACAAATTCGCCAAGCAGATAGAAACATCCAGCCCTCGGTTTTTGTTCAGATCAGACCACGACACAGGTTTCACAGGGAACGATCCTTTTCCCAGATATAAAAATAGGGTAATCATGGCTCAGGCGTATCCACATTCTTGCAATTGGAGTTTTGACTACGAACAAAATTCAGTGAATTGTTTCAATATACATAGTACAAAACACCACTGGGTTAATGCTACGTGCCTATTCTTTGCACATTCCGGACTTGATACAAGAACAAATACCTGAAAGTTGCACTGTACCTCCATTTTATAAAAGTATTAATCATACGCTTCAAAAAACTTTTCTTATTAAGGTAAATGGAACACAAGTTGCAGATGATTCTCTCTCTAGAGAGAGTCAACATCACCATGGTTCTCTAATTTTAAACATTTTGGATCTGACACTATGTGCCTATTACCTACCATCCTTTGATGCCAGCTATGCCTTGTACGTTGTTCTTCCCAGTAACATGTAGGATGCACATCGCGCGGCTGTGCAGGAAATCATGACTATCATTGCCACTACGCCAAACTTTAAATAATTATACAGTCAGCACTTCCCCAGGTCCTCTATCTCACAGCAAGTTTCAAAATATCAGCTACCGGGTTTATATCGGTTCGGTTTCCGTAAATTGGATGTCAGATATCGCTGATATACCAGACGGTATATAGTTATATAGGAGGAAACATATCTGTTTTTTTTTGTCATTCTTGTTTAGACATGCCTATTTTAATAATAATAAAAGAATGATGTCAGTGCTTGTGTTACAACTAAATGATTCCAAGTTTATTAACTAGTAAATTAAGAAATAAATCAATAAATACTCTCAAAATTCTTATTCTGACATAAAAATTACGTCATATATGCACATTTACAAAACATTATGTGTGAATTTTATAATTTGATGCAGCTATAAATACCTAATTTCATATTCACCATTTTTTCTAGAAAGAACCCTCGTCGTCCACATATTGGTCTATGTCGGTGGACATAACGGGTCAAATATCAGCCATATCGATCAATATACCAGTGTATATGTCTGATCTGCGTAAAAACGATATTTACAAAATGATATGTTATATCTGTATCGGTAGACCATCAATGACGATATATCGGCCGACTGGTCGTATCAGCCTAGATTTAGAAGCCTGTCACACGGAAACTATGTACATCTGTCAGCTTTATGCCAAAGTTGCACAGAGCCACAGACTAATAAATGTTTCGGCCAAAATACACTTTAAAAGGCTTTCACTATTTTTACATCGACAAAGGCATGACCACTCGATATGACATAAATCATAAGTTCAGGTTTAATCATAAGTTCAGGTTTCCAATATGATAATCCAGGATAGGTTTAAATGTCAGGTAAAATATAGTGAATACAGGAGAAAATAATGCACATTAGTCCAGATTCTAGATATATAATTTTCACTTCCATAAAAGAAAGGAGACTTCGTTTAAACAATTAATTTGGCATCATTATTAAAGAAAACAGTGCACACTAGTCACGTCGACCAATTGGCTAGCTAGAGCAGACTGAAATGCCCACAGCCCGACGACCCGTGTTCGAAGCTCAACCCTCCGTTCTGTTGGTGCTCGCCTTCTTGAAAAATGCCACCAAGGGCTAGTCTTGGTTGGTCGAGTTTCTTTTTGTTAGTTATGGATACATGCCATTTGTGAACATGCATGTTCAACTGAATAAAAGCATGTCGGCAATTCCCCGATATGCGTCACTTATTATAAAGCCTCACATGTCATTGACATTCTCACTAGGAACTCCTCATGGTAAAATTTTCAAGCTTAGTTTCTATCCTAACATAAACATAGATAGTTTTGATGGGCTAACAAACTAATGCATTAACTGTGACTAAAAGAAGTTGAAATTATATAAATTTAGTGAATGGGACTCGAGGCATGAAACTTAATATTCTGGATGTTTACTTCACAAATATAGGTTGTTTAGCCACAGGTGCAAGACCTAAGGAATAGCCATGGTTTTCGAGTCGCTCTGTGGTAGCGACTCGGAAAAAGTCGAGCCTGCAATTGCGACTAGTCGCGACTCACGACTCGAGTCAACACTAAGTTGAGTCGATATTTTTTTGCGACTCATCGACTAGTCGCACGACTCAAAAACCATGAGAATAGCCTAATATTACCACCATGCCCTTCTCTTACTCCAGGTTGATCGAGCTATTCTCTCAATTCTCACATTCTCTTTGTAAGGAGGCCTCATTTATTAATGAGATTAATGGTCATGGGATGTAAGATGTAACAGGAACACGACAAAAGTGCTGACAGCATGTAAAACAATATGAGATGAATAATCGACCTACTACATTATTATCTAATGGAACCATCATCAATGAGGGCAACAAGTTTTTGTGTGACTGCCATGCTCGCCGTGCCTCAATTCCACGATAGGCGGTTCTTACAAGCTTCCCTGACTTATGAGTTACAAAGCTCAGTTTTCAGTTGCTGAATCGTGGAGCGCTTATAATCTGTTGTGAACAAATCTACATAGGCCGCCGAAGGAGGAAAAGTTTGGCTAGCAAAACGGTAGAAGGAAAAAAAATCCGGTTTGACAAAAAGGGATTAGGAGTATCATAATTGACCGTGCAAGGCCAACTGCAGCCTGAGTCACCAGCTGAGATACAGAGAAGCAAGACTTCCCCAATCAGGATCTTCCATTGTTTGGGAAAGGTTCAACAATACATGGTTGCTCTGCGGTGCCTGAGATTCTCTTTGCATGAAACAGGACACCCGTCAATTGCCATTCCATGCCCTGGGACTCCATTTAGTACATGGTTGCTGAGATTCTGTTTGCTTGAAACGGTACACCGGTCAACTGCCATTCGCCCACTCCATAACCTGGGACTCCATTTACAAATGCACTCCTAGAAAAACAAGCCTAGCGATGCGGGCAATAGGTCACGGAGCGGAATGACATGTAGTGACAAAATCCTAGATGCAGAAATATCCCATCCATGCGAAGCAGCCGGAGAGCACAAACGGAACATGGTCAGCAACAGTCCACCCGCCCAATCCACGGCTACCTCGACAAATTAGCAACAGATCGCGACTCACGGCCATAGGGTTTTTGCGAATTCGTCCTCACCTTGGAGAAGCTGGGGAGTTCGGCCTGGTCCGCCACGTCCTCCATCTTGAGGTAGCGCGCGCGCCGCAAGGCCAGCACCTGCCGCTTCCTCGGCCTGTCCGCCGGCCGCTTCGCGCAGGGATCCACGGCGACCTCCCGCGCCCACGACACCAGCGCCCCCAGATCCCCAGCCGCGCCGTTGCCGCCTCCGGCCCCGCGCTGCAGGATCCCCCCGACGAGCGCGTGGAACAGCCGACGCGGCTGGCCGGCGCCATCCGCCTGCGCGTGCGGCGAGGGGGCAGCGCCCGAGGAGGAGGAGGGGTTGGGCGGATACGGCGAGGGGGAAGCGGCGGCGGCGGCGGCGGCCGGCGCGTGGCGTGGCTGGTCGGCGCAGTGGCCGTTTAGGGCGAAGGGGGCGTCGAGGAGCTGCTTCTGGTACATCCCGACCATCGGAGCGCGGGCGCCGCCGCCAGTCGCAGTGGCGGCGACGCGGCTGGCTGGGGGGCAGGTCGGCCGCGCGCCCGCTGCCTGCGCCTGGGTGGAAGGGAGGGAGGGAGGAGAATTGGAAGATTTGGGGTATCTCGTTAGATTTGCGCAAAATTTGAAAGAATTGGGATGGAATTATGGAATGTTCTAGGTTAGGGTCTGCAAGGGGTGGAGCGGTGCTGCGGTTCGTGGAGGCCAG